TGGGATGCTATGCCAAATCACTTGGACTGATCAGATATTTGCTAACTACTATCACCAAATCGACTACCATGGAGTCTATGCCAATACACCAACCCTACAGGTCAGAGAACTGTCCCAGTTTCTCCATGGCTCTCAGTTATGGAAGACTGCCACATCTTCTGAGAGACTGGTAGGTTTCAAGAGGTGACCTTTTCGTACACAGACAAGCACTTTAGCCACTGTACCATGTATTGGGAGCATAAATTCTGAGGAGTCAGTATTCAATAGTCTATGGATGGCAGTAAAAGCCAAAATCCATGTGCAGAGTCCTCACAAAGATTACATTCTACTGCATTCCTTCTGCACATTAAGCAAGCACAGAGATCACCCTAAGTCAGACCCTCAGGAATATTGAATTGGATAGATTACCTTCACACACCTAGGCTCACCTGGGTGTCTCCTTGAGGGTGATCACTTCCTGGGGTCTCAGTAGTCATGCCCAGACTGCCAGAAGGCCCAAGGCCAATCTTGAATGCCCTTCTAACATAATGTACATGTCCTAATATGATCCCTAAGAGGCACCTGACTCAAGAAATTGTATTGTAATTGCCTCATATGCATGTTCAACTTGAACCCTGAATAAAGAAGACAGAAGAATCCATGCTTCGGAATCATGGTGCTGGAAAAGCATGTTCAAAGTACCAGGGACTGCCAGAACAAGCTAATCTGTCTTGGAGGAAGCACTGCCAGAACGCTCCTTAGAACCCAGGCTGCCCAGACTCTATTTACACCAGGTTCTTTGGATATGTTAGCAGGAGAAACCAGTTCCTCGAGGAGGACATTCTGCGTGGGAAAGGGTCGGTGATAAAAACGGAAAACCCATCAAGGAGATGGACGGAGTGGCTGCAACATTGGGCTCCAACACAATTGTGAGGAGGATGCAGGACCAGGCCGTGTGTCCTTCTGTCGTACATGGGGTCGCTGTGAGTCTAAACCACCTGGACAGCACCTAACAACGTCATGGTGCTGTCCCACGTCTGCAGTGCCACCTGTAAGGCCATGTATTGGTCAGCGGTCGGTCAGGAGTTTGTGAGCATTCTGTGTTCCATGTCTTATTTAAGTAGCTGTGTGATTGCAAATCCTTGGACACCATCACATCCTCAAGGTAAAGGTCT